AATTTCTCTATTTAATAGTTACATTTAATAGCATCAAAATATACATTGTGTTCTTGACCTTCTCTTTCATGTTTGTCAAAAAGGCAAAGGTTTGAGCCACTAATATTACTTTTTTCAAATACAGTCTGTCAATTTCAAAATTTAAGTGGCAAAAAATTGCTACCTGACTTTCACTAGCAATTTAAATAACAATGAAAATATTTTGTGCTGTATCTCATTGAATCGGAGAAATTAGTAGTAAAAAAATCTCCATTAGCTCCCCCTGGGGTCCTGTTTCCACAGCTGTTTCCACAGCTGTTGAATCCCAGGCAAAGGCGGCAGTTCACCCAGGAAGGAGTGGAGAAATTCTCTCTCAAGCTGGCTCTGTTCACACCTGTATCAGGAATTCCAGCTGCCCAAATTGGCTGGGTTCTGGGTTCCAGCATCCCAGAACCAACAACCTGTGCATTGAACAAGAAACTTTTCACACGACCAGGCCAATGTCATCAGCACCATTTAGAAAACAAGATTAAAATGTCTATATTATTGTATTGTTCCTTTCTCAAACAAAGCACTACACATAGTGGGGAAAAAGCAGCTGCATTTTACAGAAAGGCATTTTGCTTTAATAGCCTTTTTTTCCCCATGACAAAACAATTGTTCAGCCCACACAGCCTCAACCAAATAGGCGACGGATGCCTAATTTTTTATATTTTCATTATAAAGTAATGGCCTAACTAGAGATGCTTGCAGGAACATTATATGCTATGATATTTTAAACAGAGAAATCACGAGGATAATAAGCAGTTCATGTGCATAAAACCTGTGCTGGTGACCGTTTAAGTCCAAAGTCAACAGCAAACTTACCATTTACTTCAACATGACTGTGATTAGTCCTTAAAGGTGTGTTGTATCCCAAGCAACAACAAACCAAGCATTCCCCCAGTATGTTTAATAAACAGTAACACTTGGAGCTCATACAGTGTTTTTCACCGTTAGTTCTCACTGCACCTCACAAAGGAGGGTGCACATAACTATTAGAGATGTGAACAGGTAACCATTAACAAGTTAATGGGTGATGCATTCTGGGTAACAGTTAACCATTACCTGGGAGCAGCACTCTGCCTGCAGGGCTGCTAGCTCCAAGCACATGTGGGCTTGGAGTCAGCAATCTTGCGCAGGGCTAGGAGGGCTGCTGGCTCCTAGCCTGGGCAGGCTCGCAGGCTGGGAGTTGGTAGGCCTGCGCTGGGTGGAAGTGGTGTGAGGGCTGGAGCAGCCCAACTCGAGCAAGCCCAGCCTGCGGTGCAGGGGTGGCTCCAGCTCGACCATGGCAGATGGGGGGCCACTCCAGTCCAGTGAAATACCCCACTGCCCATCCCCATCTAATTGGTTAACCAGCTAAACTTAACATTTAAACAGTTAACCATTTAAATGGGATTTTGCATCCATAATAACTATCCCCATTTTATAGACTGGAGGAAGGAAGGAAGGAAGAACTACCAAAGAATTCTTAGTATGAGAATGCTAGATCCAGGGAAACACCACAAGTCTCCCAATTCCCATTCCAGATCCCCACCCACTAAACAAGGCTCTCTCTCAAACTGCTAATTTGTGTCTATTCATGGATTTGCTTTTTAATAAAGCAAGGCATGATGATTGACCTGACAATGGTTTTGGGATATAGAAAGAAACGGTACTGGTGAGAGAGATCGCCTGTGCCACACCAGTAATTAACATGATGGTTTGACATTCTGAGGACTTCCTAGACCAATAAGAGACCCTGCCCCTGCAAACTTGGAGGCCTTTGTGCCCTGCAGCTGTGGTTCTGATTCTTGACATGAGTCGTTAGTCCACAAGCATAAGGTCTCACCCTTTGCAAATTAACGCTGACAGCACTTCTTGTCTGAAGTCTCCCCTACTATGCCCTATCCAGCCATTTATTTCCTTTAACTTCTGGAATTTGCTATGACCTAGGGATGTGACCAACTAGGCAAATGCTTATCAGATAGTCAACAGGGTAGTTGACTAGTTGCCAGAGGCGTAGTGAAGGAGGGTAAGGGGGAGCAGTTGCCCCCGGGTGCCACGCTAGGGGGGCACCAGAATGGGGTGGGAGCGAAGCGCATACTGCTCTGGCCCATGTGACACTTTTGAACAGAGACCCGGGAGTTGGCTAAGTGCTTCCGGCTCTCTATACACTGCGAGCCAAGGCAGCAGGGCTGGGCGGCAGCAGCGGCCACTTTAAAGGTTAGATTTCCTTACCTGGTCCTTCCGTTCCTCTGGTGCCTGGCTCTGAGGGGGGAGGAGGAGGAGGAGGAGGATTTGATAGGGGTGCACTCCCAGCACTGAGGAGGGAGGGGCTGACTCGGGATGAGTGTATTGGGGTGGGGGGCCCTTCAGGGGTCCTTGCTCAGGGGGAGGGGTAAGTGTCAGCGGCCACTTTAAAGGTTAGATTTCCTTACCTGGTCCTTCCGTTCCTCTGGTGCCTGGCTCTGAGGGGGGAGGAGGAGGAGGAGGAGGATTTGATAGGGGTGCACTCCCAGCACTGAGGAGGGAGGGGCTGACTCGGGATGAGTGTATTGGGGTGGGGGGCCCTTCAGGGGTCCTTGCTCAGGGGGAGGGGTAAGTGTATTGGGGTGGGGGGACACTGGGGAGGGGCTAGCTCTGGGGGAGAGGTGGGTGCATTGGGGTTACTTATAATTCTTTTTAAATAAAAGATATGTGCTCAGGGGGAGGGTTAAGTGTATGGGGGTGGGGGGACACTGGGGAGGGGCTAGCTCTGGGGGAGAGGTGGGTGCATTGGGGTTACTTATAATTCTTTTTAAATAAAAGATACTTTATAACAAAAGGACACACTTTTAAAAAAGAACAGTCTGGTTGCATTTAAAAGACTAACATACATATAGATCAGGCATGTCAAACTTGAAGCCCACTGATTGCCACACAAATGAAAACTGATAGGCTATACTTGTTTTGTTGACATAGAAACAAGTATAGACCATGGTCAATCAAATAGAACAGGCTTCTGTGAAAATTTCAGATACTTTGTAAGGTTGAGATTTTGCGTAAACATATAAGTATTCGTGCAATTGCAAAAAATTAACATATATTTGATATAAAATTAATATACATTTTGTGATTTTATTAATAAAATACCCCCCTCCTTTCCCCCAGAGCCAGGCACTCCCATATCACCATTCTAACCCAATCTCCCTCCACTCCCCCAGGGCACCCCCTCCCACTCTAATCCAATGCCTCCTCCCTCCCACAGACCCAGGCACTCCAAGCCCCTCCCCTCCATACCTAATGCCTGGGTCCCGGAGCCAGTGTCACCGCCTCCACACATTTCTTCCTCAGGCACTGGGGAGGTGTGAGCACAGCAGCCAACTGTGAGCAGGCACTTGAAGCCTGTTCAGAGCAGCCCGGCCAGCTGTGGTCTGCAGTCAGCCACGTGCTCCGAGCAGCCAGTGGGCTGCACTTTATTCTTTTATAAAATGTAGTGGCAGGCCACAAAAAAATTCGATTGGGCCACATGCAGCCTGCCAGAAGCCTGTTTGACATGCCTGATGTAGATGGTATCATGAGCTTTTGTGGGCACAACCCACTTCCACCCATGAAAGCTCATGATACCATCTACATAAGGTAGCCCTGGGTCACTGCAGAAGGGGCAGGGCCTAAACAGGAAGGGGCAGGGCTACCCAGATCATGATTGGTCTGGGGTGGAGGAGCACTCCCCCATCCCCAGGCCAATCAGGGCTTGAGGGTGGGGGAGCACAAGTGCACGAAGCCTCTTCCTGCCTTGC